CCCACTGCTCAGGTGTGTGTGCTGAGTATAACTTGTCCTGTCTACAAACGTGTATGTTCACGTTGTACGTCAGCAGCTTTTTGAACAATTCAATACTAGCTATGTGCTGCTGTATTAAAGTTTTGCAAATCTCGCTCAAGGACTTTTCTTTATCAATGCGCACAATCATGGTAAATTGTAAAGATGGGGCCGCTTTTCCAACCTTGAAAAACTTGAAAGTTCCATCACAAGTAACAAATGAAGCTCTGGTCTCTATCAATTAATGAAGGCGTTACTCCGTCAGACTCAGTGCATGTGTCACTTGTGCTGTTGGCATTTCCTTTGCTTCTATTTTTCCTCTTCTCTTCTCGCTTATGTTTTTTCTTATTGATGTGTCCTGTGGAAAAGCAAATTATTAGAAAGAACTTCTGAAATGATACTTGGTAACTGAAAGAAAATAATCACAGTCACCATGATTCTCCGGATCAATTTTTTGGTTGATTTTTTTCTTTACATTCTCTGTAAACATGTATTGCCGTGGGTGATATGAAATTGAGGATTATGGGAAAATATATGTTCGTTCACCAACCAAGTAACGGTATTTATAACATCAAAATATGACATCATAACAGGGTCGGTACTCATGCTAGTGTTGTCATAACTTGCATGGGCTTTGTCTTATTTCTCATTTCGTGATATTTGTGAGACAAGGTCGCGTTAGTATCAGTTCAGATTATAAGAAACAATTACTGAAAACACCCGCCTTAAAAGAACCCATTATTTTCGGCAAAAGGCGGAAATGGTTTTTAAGACTAATAGGGAGCATATCTTTTATATTTTTTATGCTTTAATATAGCTGCTTATTTGAGCAAATTTCACGCTGGAAGTCTTTATGGGTGATTTTTCTGTAATCTGAAAAATGTAACTGTTTACATGTCAGATATAATGAGGAAGAGCTTACCATATTTTTCCTTCTGGATCGTTTTCTTATTAGATTTTTTCGTCGCTACGAATCTGTGACTTTCGTCCGTAGAACTTTCATCTGTATCAGGATCTACGTGTGTGCGATCAAAAGTAATTACACAGTATTCTAGTATTTGGCTTCTTTTAAAGAAGCTTAAAGAGCGTCTTTCCCAAAATTTTTTAGTGTTTAGTGTCAGTTATAAACATGGAAAATAAGATTATTACATTTCTTTCCGGCAAAGTTTGCAAAGGAACAGTTTTAAGTGAAAAAGACAAATTTGCATTTCAGCTCATTTCAATCGCACAGCTTCTCCGTAGAATGGTGGTTGAATGTGTAAACATTATGCTTCAGTGGACAAAATTTAAAATTTTGAACCGCGAGTTTCCGTTTTCTCTTCAATAATCATCTGACTAACTCTACTCAAACAATTATTCACCACAAGATCAGTTAATACTTGAAAAATCCCCTCGATTATTCAACAATATTAACTTTGCCTTCGGCAAATAAGCTTACATGATTTTGTTAGTTTTTGTTTTAGCAAGATTATAATAGGTTTAATAAGAGCTAATAAACAAAACGACTATTTTTGCACATGGAGAACACTTTTTGGTATATTTCTTTGCCATCGCTGCAAGACCACGACATGAAGTCTCCCAGCTGCTTATAATTTTGCAACGCGTTATGATCGTCGCCGCCGTCGGTGCTAAGTAGATTCTTATTGTTATCTATTACCCCGGCAACTACTTGCTACTACTGTGAATATTAAATTACAGATCATTTACTTACATTTACGCTTTCGTCCTTTCGTTTGTCCTTTATCTGCGTCCATTGAACTACCGTGTACACAGGTCTTCTGTTTTATCTTTAAAAGCTTTCAGAGATGTATCTAGAGGCTCCTCCAAGCTACATGTCAAGCTTGTAAGAAAAGCACGGGAATTCATTGGCCGCTAGCGTAAGGGGACGGCGGTGGGGGCCTTGTGCTCGTTCCCGCATTTTGCGGTCTTTTTTTTTCACTGAAACGAGAGCAACGAAGACCTTCGCAACTCTTCGATTGTCGCCTCTCCTACTCGGTTTGTTTTGGCATGATTAATAAAGTCTCGGGCTCGGATTTCTTGGCACTGAGTCTCAGGCTCGGATTTTCTCAAATCGTTGAAGTCTCTGGCTTGGATTTTTAAGCACGGGTCTCTGTGTCTCGGCGAGTCTCGGATTTTACCATTCACTACCCCTAATGTGTATAACACTGAACATGGTACATCTCGTCAAGGCTGAATGCACGTCCTCAATCTACGGCACAGAGGTAGGTCTCAGCATTAGCATATGCATTGTACGTTACACTAATATCTTCACATACACACAAAATTTCACCACTGTAGGTGGACAGAATAACATGTGTTGGATCAATTTTGACACCAGGGCAAACTTCTTTCATCAAGCTAATTGCAGCAAGAGACATAGCACAACCAGTGTCTAACTGCATACAACTGATACAACAATTAGTGTTTTCAATCCTCAGTTGCGCAGAAATTTTAGACCTAAACGTAGTGCTAACATCATAAACCACATAATGTTCATCATTCTCACATCCCAAGGTAGCTCTTCTTAAGCACACATGGTGTTAATGCCACTCTTGCAAACTCGAGCAATATGGCCTCTTACATTACAGTTCCTGCAAAACAGAATTTCCAAACATGAGAAGCAAATACATATGTCCAAAAGGTCTAGATAGCAGCAACAATATAGATAGTCGTATAAACATAACAACTTTCTTTAATTTTCCAGACATGTTTCGGTACATCCATCATCTTTATACGAAATACATATACATACGTGAAATACATATACATATGTGTATCTATTAAATACAATTCATATTACACCTCTTGAAGGTATGCTCAACATTGCGAAAATGAAAAAGACTGTTGATAATGTCTGGTGAGTTTCTCGTTGAACTTATAGAAATGCGGACTTACATGTTTTTGAAGCCCTTGTTTTTACAAAGACATTATATACATAGTAAAATAAATGAAAATAAAATTCTAATGGTGTTATTGAACTTGTATAGGTGGTACTTAATTTCGTTTTTTTGTTTATTTACCAGGTGAAAGGTTTGTACGACAAGAGCCTCCAAGGTGTTAAAAGTCCAAGACATTATCCCACCAGAATGGGACAGCCCTTGAACAAGTTGGTTTTAATATTCCAGCTATACACTCAGTCACATAGAATGTCTTACCTATGAAGGAGCCTCCAATATCAGTGGTATAGGTTAGAATACATTCTATATCTATATCTATATCTTTAACCATAAGAAATGAGAAATGCAGGTAAAAAAAAATCAATATCTACGTGGTGCTCCATAAAATTAACTAAGGAGTGCTAGTGTTTAATAATGAATCAATGGATCCCACCTCCATTTCCCCTGCTGTTTGGACAATACAGTCCACAGACAGGTAAGTATTTGTAAAGCACAATTGCTTTAATTAAAAGGAAGAAAAATCTGTATTATAAACTCTAAAAAATGTTTTAAGGCAAGTGTGATGTTAGTGCTCAAGAAATACAGTCGACTCCCGCTAACTCAACCTTCTAGGGAAATTGAATAAAGTTCGAGTTATCGGGTCAGTTTGAGTTATCAAGAGTTTGGAGCAAATAACCGGAAATAAGAATACTTTGTTGCTTAGTGCAATTAAG